GTACTTCTTCAAATATAACATTTCTAGCACAATACAAACAAATTGTAATCGTAGACAACGAAATGTGTAAATCCACTTGTATATAAGCCGTACTTCATAAAACTTCAACTTATGTTAGGCCTAAGTTCGATAAAGAGATAAATTAACACTGTAACCTGTGTAAGGTTTTTTTTTCCTTTAGTTTAGTTAGGATTAAACTTTACTGTGATTAATACTATCGATAAATAAACTTATAATGTTATTCTATGACCTAACGTCAAACCTTTTTTTAAAACTTTGATAAGTTTTTAATATTTTGTTGTACAAAATGGTTAGTAAAGTATATTTACATTCCCCTTTTGTTGTTACTTCTTGTTCCATACAGCAATTGTAGCAACTTGATCACTGAGCTTTGCAGCTCTCTGCTGCAGGCAGACTGTCATCGAGTGAATAATGTGCATGCACTGTTTTTCTTGGGGAAACATTCTAACTACAGCAGGTTCTCGGTCAGAAAGCATAACGGTCATACATACAAACAAGCAGAATAATAGTATATATATATACAAACAATACAGATTAGTTTTTTGGATATTGACCTGTAGCAGCTGATCCATTTGTTCATGAAACATTTTTCCAACTTTTGTTTACCATGTATTTTTTAACCTAATTATGTCTTTATATTAATATACTACACAAGTGATGTGTTGACCATAACATTTTACCCTAATTAAATCTTCATTTTAATATACTACCCCTGTGATACGTTGATGATAACATTTTACCCTAATTATGTTTTTATATTAATACAGTACCCACGAGTTAAATAGCTTACAATTTAAGTATTGCTTTAATTTTTATTTTAAAAAGTATATTTCACCTAAGTACATGTCTGATGCAGTAAAACATTGCTAATATATTTGTTTCTCTAAGATTTCCATGTTTTCTTTTTCAAATTCCACTGACTTACTTTTCTTCAGCTTTAATACATTTTAAAATTTCACAACTTTTCCAGGGACCCATGTGTTCTAATACAAACGTTTTCCTTCAAAAATGATCATTGTGAATAAACAACACTGGAAGTATTACAGTATTAATAATTTTCACTAAATTGGAATCAGAATGGGAACCTAAGTCTTACTAGGCACAAAAATATCTTATAAACTTTTATCAGAATGTTCACCTCTTGAACATTAAATATACCTTGAAAGGCCCCAGTAGCTATTCGAGAGAGAATGACAAAAACTCCAGGACCCTTGGCATCACGATGGCTAAACCATATAGTTTCTGGCAAACAAAATGTCAGTAGTGACCAAGCAGTTGTTCCCACTAGTAGTAAAGTCTCTCCTCCATAGTGGTCACTTAAATATCCCCCAGGCACCTGTGTCAGGATATAACCCCAGAAAAAACTGGACAGAACAATACCCTATTTGGAATAATGACAAAATACAGAGTAATAGAATAATAGATTGCTATTTAAAGTAAAATGAAACATAAATATGTCGGCTTATTTCTGTGGACTTGCAACGCTATCAGATTTATTATATTTTTACTGTAATAACTGTTACTTCCATCAAAGATAACCATGTTATTGATGCCAAACTATCCACTAGAACTCACCCAAAAATGATATGTTTTAGTCATTTACTTATGGTTTCAGTTTAATTAGAGGACACAGAATTACTTATGAAATGGACTTGACATAAAATGCATTTTTTTGAGAAAGTGCTGAAGACTTAAGTTGATTGGTCTGTCCTACTGTATCTCATTTAGTAAATATTTTTACTTTACGGAAAGAGCTTAATTGGTAATTTGTATAAATAATGTAGCTAAAAGGATGCTTTTGTTTTTTTAAAGAAATTTTCTAAAAGATACATCTGTGTTAGATATGCTAGATAAGAGGGAAGGCATTTAGTCAACAATACGTACCACTAACATTTGGGCCACTCTAATCAAATAGTGGGATTTGGTCATCATTCTTATGATGTATCCATGACTCTAAAGTATGAAGCATCTTTTTCAATAGCTAAGAAACCACAACAGCAACTGCCTCCCCCTAACTAAGGTTAAGTATACAGACTGGAAATAAGTTGTGTTATAACTGGAAAACTGAAATAAGGTTAAGTATGCAGACTGGAATTAAGTTGTGTTATAGCTGGAAAACTGAAATAAAGTAAAATAACTGGAAAACTGAAATAAGGTTAAGTATGCTGATTGGAATCAAGTTGTGTTATAGCTGTAAAACTGAAATAAGGTTAAGTATGCTGACTGGAATCAAGTTGTGTTATAGCTGTAAAACTGAAATAAAGTAAAGTATGCTGACTGGAACTAAGTTGTGTTATAACTGGAAAACTGAAATAAGGTTAAGTATGCTGACTGGAACTAAGTTGTGTTATAGCTGTAAAACTGAAATAAAGTAAAGTATACAGACTGGAACTAAGTTGTGTTATAGCTGTAAAACTGAAATAAAGTTAAGTATGCTAACTGGAACTAAGTTGTGTTATAGCTGTAAAACTGAAATAAGGATAAGTATGCAGACTGGAACTAAGTTGTGTTATAGCCGTAAAACTGAAATAAAGTAAAGTATGCAGACTGGAATCAAGTTGTGTTATAGCTGGAAAACTGAAATAAGGTTAAATATGCAGACTGGAATCAAGTTGTGTTATAGCTGTAAAACTGAAATAAGGATAAGTGTGCAGACTGGAACTAAGTTGTGTTATAGCTGGAAAACTGAAATAAGGTTAAGTATGCAGACTGGAATCAAGTTGTGTTATAGCTGGAAAACTGAAATAAGGTTAAGTATGCAGACTGGAATCAAGTTGTGTTATATAACTGGAAAACTGAAATAAGGTTAAGTATGCTGACTGGAACTAAGTTGTGTTATAGCTGTAAAACTGAAATAAAGTAAAGTATACAGACTGGAACTAGATTGTGTTATAGCTGTAAAACTGAAATAAGGTTAAGTATGCTGACTGGAACTAAGTTGTGTTATAGCTGTAAAACTGAAATAAAGTAAAGTATGCAGACTGGAATCAAATTGTGTTATAACTGGAAAACTGAAACAAGGTTAAGTATGCTGACTGGAATCAAGCTGTGTTATATAACTGGAAAACTGAAATAAGGTTAAGTATGCTGACTGGAACTAAGTTGTGTTATAGCTGGAAAACTGAAATAAGGATAAGTATGCAGACTGGAACTAAGTTGTGTTATAGCTGTAAAACTGAAATAAGGTTAAGTATGCAGATTGGAATCAAGTTGTGTTATACAACTGGAAAACTGAAATAAGGTTAAGTATGCTGACTGGAACTAAGTTGTGTTATAGCTGTAAAACTGAAATAAGGTTAAGTATGCTGACTGGAATCAAGTTGTGTTATATAACTGGAAAACTGAAATAAGGTTAAGTATGCTGACTGGAACTAAGTTGTGTTATAGCTGTAAAACTGAAATAAGGTTAAGTATGCTG